TCCCTACCACAGCTACAGTTTCCTAGTGTTACCATCCCTGACTGCTTCTCTAACCACCTCTCTGCGTCTCTCCTCCTTCCTCTCACTATGTTTTTAAGAGGCTGAGGTTCATCTAGTTCTTGTCATGGTTTATTTTCTGTGATGCTCACCCCCTAGATGTTACCAAGACTTACTTCTATGTATCATATTGAGAGATGTCAACTCAGGCCTTTCCTGACCACCTTCTCTAAAGGAGTCTCCCTCCTCTCAATGACACGATTCCTCCATCCTGCTTTATTTTCTAAAGCGTTTGCCACCATTTGAAATTGTACTTTTTGTTGTGTATGTTTTGTTTTCACCTTCCTCACTGAAATTTGAGCTCCACAAGAGTAGGTTTGTTGAGTTCATCAATGTGTCTGCAGTGCCTAGAAGAGAGCTGGGCACAGTTAGGTGCTCAATAAAAATGTGTTGAGTAAATGAATGAATGAATGAATGAATGAACGCTGACACCATTGATATATATGAGTAGAAAAGTGTAAAACTAACCACTTTTCCACTCTCCATAGGTGGATTAACCATAGCAAAGTTTTCATTCCAAGCTGGCTTTTCTCAATTATGTAGAGTATTTCAGGGCAATGTTTCTCAAAATCCTATCATATTTGCTATGGAAATGCAAATCCATTTTGTATTAGGGTCATAGGGCTGCCATGACTGGGTGGCTTAAGACAACAGAAATGTATTCTCTCTGGAGCCTAGAAATCTGAAATCAAGGTGTTAGCAGGGCCCTGCTCCCTTTAAGACTCTGGAGAGAATCCTTCCTTGCATCTTCCTGTCTTCTGGTGGTGGCTGGCAGTCCTTGGCACTCCTTGCCTTCCAGTTGCAACACTACAATCTCTTTGTCATCACGTGGCATTCTCCTTCTGTATCTCTGTCTGCAAGTCATCTTTACCTCTTATAAGGACATCAGTCTTATTGGATTAGGGCCTACCCTAATGATTTCATCTTGACTACATCTCCAAGAATCCTATTTTCAAAAAGGTCACAATCATAGGTGCTGGGGATTAGGACTTCAACATATCTTTTGGGGGGCTCAGTTCAGCCCATAACACATTTTAATATTGGTGGAAGCAAATTGTACACAAATGCCTTCCGATGTTAAATACCCTACTTAATTGGCTCTGATGTACTTTAAAAAAACATTTTGAAACCTCTAAAATCAGGATGCATCCTACATGGTAGTTTGGATTTCCTACTGCTTGGGGCAATGCTTACTGGAGCTTTCTGCTCAGAGCATGGAGGTATGTGTTACCTTCAACTCCACCTTCCTGTCTTCTTCCCCTTTCTTGTGTTACTGAACCGCTGCTACATTTAATGAAATAAAAAAAATAAAAAAACTCTCTTAGCAACTTGCTCTAGAGAAACCAGTTGTGTACCCATAGGGCAGTTAGCATGAGATGTTTTGTTTTCGGATGACTCACCCAGCCAGGTGACTGGGCTGGAAGATCAGGCACTGCCTGAGTCACCCTGGGTCCCCATGGACCTCATTAATGATGAGCCAAAAGTCAGGGGCAGGGCTGGGGCCCCAGGCCAGGACTCCCTGGCAGACAGTAAGAGAGATGTCCATAGGGTCTGCAGTACATATCTTTTTCCCACTAACACCTCTCCCTCTGACAGCCCTCTTCTGAAATCCCCTGGCCCCACGAGGGTGGCCTGTTTCTGCATTCTGACATCCTGTCTCATTGGACAGCACGTCCTCAAAATAGCTCTCATTGACGCATTATGACTTCCTTGTTTTTATTTTTCCTCTCCATTTTCCCCACCCTTTGTTTCTTTTCTGGTTCTGTGAATGGGGCTTAGATGCCAAGGCATAGCTTTCTACTTCTACTTTCCAGGCAAACTTCTTGGCTGCTCTTGTCTATTGTTTCTGACTGGCCTGCTCTTCTTGGCCATCCCTCCTAACGTGGATTTTTGAACACCAGCATTCCTAACTCCATTTAGAAGCCAGATCTGACGATCATTGTCCCCTAGCCTGAAGCATCTGGCTCCAGGCCCTCACCACACGTGTGTTCAGGGCATACTCAGCAGAATGGTGTCTTGGGGGGCGGGGAGCTGAAGAAAGTAAAACATTCACTGGCCTTAAACAGCTTGGTACTTAGGATAAAACAGCAACAACGAAACCAATAGCAGTTGTAGAAGCATTCATTGAGTACTTTCTGTGTGCCAGCGGTTGTGCTAAGAGCTGGATAGGGATTGGTTCATTGAATCCTTATAATCACCCTGTGAAGACCAAGGCCGGTCCCCCTTGTTCCCCTGCTCTGGCTAAACTGTCAGAGAAGAAAGGGGTGGTAAGAGTTTGTTTTTGGCCATGATAGAGTTCTGATGAAGATCCCCATTTCTCCAGCAGGGCTGAGTCTGGGCCCCTGAGGCTGAACAGGAACATAGGCCTTATGAATGACGGGAAACAGAGGCCCAAACTCCTTCCACATGTTCAGAAGGGAGAGGTGGCTTCAGAGAAGCAGCTCATTGAATCAGCATGGGCCAGGCTCAGAGACCTCTGATGAGTGAATCACTTTCAGCCACTGCATTCCAGGAACTTGCCCTTGGTGACAGGTCTTGGTAGGGGGTAGCATGCGGGGGAGGGTTGTTGGTTCTCATGAAATCAACCTATGATTCATTAAAAAGAGATGGTAAGGGGAACTAGGCAGCCATCACGCTTAGGCACGACTTCCTAAAGAACAAACCCCAGCAGCTCATCCTCTGGGGTCAGGGCTGCTGTTCACTGGGAGGGGGTCTTGCTGTTACTTATTTCACATCTGACGAGGCTTCCCATTGTGGCTGCAAGTCAAGGACTCAGAAGAATGAATTTGAGAAATAATTTGAGAATGAAAGGATGGATAAATGTATAGACTGGGAAAGTTTTCCAAAAATAATTGGACAGTGCCCACACCCTCCACAGTCCTCTCCTCCTAACTCTTCACGTGGTCTCCTTTCCCTAGTGAAAATCAATGGCATTTATGTCCAAAATTACCTTCCTCGATGCCAATGGCCTCGGAAACTTCAAAAAGGGAAGCAGATACATAAAATAGTTCAGGCTGTGCTCCTCTCAGAACTCTTCCAATAGGCAATAAAGGGGGGCTGTGTTCACATCTGGCTGGAGAAAGAGCAATTGTGATTCAGACTTGGTTTGTGTTCTACAAGGCAGTAAACCCTAACCTTTGGGGGTTATCTTTTCTACCAGATAGCAATCATTCATGCTGCTGTTGGGTAAGAATCATAGACATTGTCCTCACCGAGAATCATTTCCATTGCTGTTGGTTTTCTGTAAGTGAACCTGTACTCTTAAAGAGCTGTATTTTAATGGATCGAAGTCAAGTAAAGGTACACACCACTAGGAAACCAGATAATCCCTAAGCTACCAGTCAGCACCCAGTGCCCACAACCTCCACAAAATAGATTTGCTGGTCTCACCAGCTGGGCGCAGAGGGGCCACTTTAGCAGACTGGATGAAGGCCTTGTCAGGATAACTGGGTCACGGGGAAGAGTGGGTCTTCCTCATTGCTCCCTATATTGGAAAAGGCGTTCCTAGGGGCGCTGAAGGTTTGCCTGGCTGAGGCCAGGTTTACCTGAGCTAGGGAAGCACTGAGGATGGGGGCTTCTGTCCAAGCAAAAGCCGCAGGTTTTCTTCCAGGCTGGGTTTCTCGGGGTTATTTTGGTCCCTCTGGCTATCCCTGCTTGTCCCCCCTGCTTTTTCTCTGTCTTTGGACAGTATGAAGACTGTCACATTTGAGTGGCATTTTGTAGGGTACCAAGTACTTCTCCCTCATCTCACTGAATCCTTGCACACATCCTGTGCAATAGACATTGTCATTTCATAGGGGTTATTTGAGTTGCCCAAGGCCATGATACCGCTAATAAGAAGAGCGCTCAGAATTCAGATAGTCCAGGCTTTCCAAGTGCAAAAGTCTGCATTCTTCCAGCTTATATCAGTGAGCCTTTTCTAACATTTCTGCAGTTCTCCCTGGAGCATTCTGTGCTTGGATCCGAAAATATATGTATTGGGAAGTTTGATAAGATTCCAGAAGATTTGCTTTTTCCTGGCAGGCCAGCGGGACCCTGTCATGGCCGCCCCCCCCCC